GACCGTGTGAAACCAGCCTATTTGCTTTCGGACTCTAATTTGCCTGAACTGAAAACAAATAAAGACTTAAAGACAGTTCAGCAGAATAAATCTGCAAACGAACTCTCTAAGACACAAACTGTCACCAGATCGGGAAGACATGTTCACTTCCCTAAGAAACTTGCTTCTTACATAACAATTTAAAACATTTTTTTTTAAATTCATATCGTAACATATTTTTTGTTATTTCATGTTTATTATATGTGTCATTACCTTGTTATATATTGAATTGCATTTTGATCTTTTCTAATTTTATATTCTAATTTTGTAATCATGAAAAAAAATACCCGACAGTACGGATCCTCTGAGATAATTTCATAACCTGATGTCGTTCCTTTGAATAGCCATCAAAGGAACTGGGGGGAAACTCTGTGGTGATGGCGATAAGGAGCGCGCCTTGCGCCCTCCGATAAGTGTGGCAACCCTAGAGGAGAAGTTTCTTACGAGTAGCGAGCAGAGCGAAACAGGCCGGCTGTCGGGGAGTGTGCGCGAAGTTCCGAAATAAAGCTTAATTTTTATTGTGCACTATGTCTTGTTAATATTTATATTAATGCAGTAAGAACATAATCTGTGATATGGAATGCGAGGAGGCGGTAACAATACAATAGGAAATCACCATAACCAAAAAATGTAGAGCTGGCCACCCAACCGGTGTAGTGGTTAGTGTCACTGACTGCCATACTGAAGTGCGGGGGTTCGAATCCCGGAGAAGCTATGGATGCTATGTAAATGTCAGGGGCGTAGCTAGAGTTTCTAGTGCCCGGGGACAACTGAAGAATTTGCACCCCTTTCTGTGTGCGAGAAATGGAAAATATTTCATTAAAAAATTTCGTAGCATCAATTTGGTGTCCCTTGGATGCTGCGCCCGGGGACAGATGTCCCTCCTTGCCCCACCCTAGCTACGCCACTGGTAAATGTATAGTGTCGGTGCAGCATGGCAGCACTCTAAATAGCCAAAAGTTCTCTCATGTGGTTTGGTGGAAGAGGAGAGTGGTGGGAGACCTTCAGACCCCTCCCCCAGGTGCTCTCCATCAAAAGTGGGGGCAGAACTGAGTTAAAATGTTTAATAAAGTAAACAAATAAATATTAAGCTTTTTTTTAAATTTTGACACCCTTTAGATAATAATTGCTCTTTATTTCATAAATTACGGTTTCATATTTTTAATTTTATAATTTCTGCATGCCATCTTACCAGATTTAAATTGATGATCTATAATCCGGGATCGCCGAAGTCCCGACAAGTCCTGATTAAAATACCCGACAGTACGGATGACTTTGTACTGTATTAATTAGCATTTATTATGAAATGGGAAAACTGGCATTAGTAATTTCTAAGGAACAATAGAGCTCTGGCAAGATCTTCTTAGTTAGAGGATAATAAATCTGATTTGATAAACTTCAGAGCTTAGAAGAGTCTTTCCACATTGACCTGAGTAAGAGGAAGAGCTACTTCTTTTAACTTTTCAGAATAGATTTTTATAAGTCTAAAAGAAATGTCTTGCAAGAGCAATCATATTCCTCTGTTTCTTCAAAGGCCATGTGGAAATCTTGTGTGTATTTTTTCAGCTTTATATCTAAATGGTCTTCCTTCCTTATTTTCATTCACTTTGTCTTAGCCTTTTCAATATTATCCAAATATTTCTCAAAATGATCATTGCAATTCACACTGGAAGAGGATGATAGAGACTCAATTGCAATGTCTGCAGTTTGACTGTCTAGATTTGAATACTACAATTGTTCTGAGAATAATTTCATCCTTAATGGAAGGCTTTCTTTGCCTTTTTAATTTGTTTGTCATCCAACAAAGTTCGATGTTTTGGATCTACATATATTGAACTCAGCAAGATCTCATTGTCTAGCAAACTAGTTTCTCTTTTCTTCATTGAACAAATAATGCCTTCTGCAACAAACACGCCATTTCAGAAAGAACAAACATCACATTCTTCCATTCTCGCCTCATGTTAATTCTTCAGATCGTAACTTATTTGTGGCTATATACAGTGTAGAAAAAAAGAGTTTCCAGTTCTGCAAGATCATTTCACAATCTTTCTGTTATTGAAATATTAGGGTTACCTACATCTTCTGAAAACTGTCTTAATTCTTACAAGCTCTATATCATCAAATATGTACGTTGTGTGAGAAAAAACGGAGGGGACAGTTCTAAAGCTCCTGCTCTACTGGGCCAATTGACAAAATCCAAATTGCATTTTCATGTCTCGAAAGCGCAACTTAGGATATGTTTATATAGCATCATTCTAACACAGGTATTTTTGACACAAGATCGGACTTTTTCTGAAATGGCATGATAATTTTTTTCCATATTTCCAATCTATGACTGAAATTATGGCTAAATATTAAATTTTGTAAAATTTGGTGTGAAATTTACGGAGAAATTCAAATATTTAACGTGGTGTATTTTTTTACGTTTTCTGCAAGAATAATTTACTTGGTGAACTTCTTAATTTATAGCAACCTATTTTCTGTTTCTTTTTTTTTTTTTTTCATTGCAGATGAGTGGGGGGAAAGTCATCTTTCATACTTTCAAATAATTTTAACAAAGTAGGTAAATCACATTTGGTGTTGTTATCGCTCAAAAAAAGAAAAAAAAAGGAAAGATGCCAAATTTCAAAAACACTCCAGTATGTAAATTCATGTATATCTTAGAAAATTTTGAATGAAAACTCTAATTTTTTACAGGTGTGCCTAGAAATAAATTTACTTTAAGATGATGTTAAAAATTGTTTCGAAAAATTTATAAAAATACAAATTTAAAAAATAAATCATAAAAAATGTGTGAATTCTAGTTGTATTAAGCCTAAATTTTGAATTCCGGAAGAAAGAATCAAGTAGGTTTAATAAAAAATAGAGAGATAATAATAAATATATATGAAAATCAATTAACATCGAGGAGCTAAAATTTTCAGAGCTAATTTTTTAAAAACTACTTGTGCGTTTTTTACGAAACTTGGCAGTTTGGCATAACTTGAGTAATAGAATCGAAATATGGAAAAAATTGTCATGTCATTTCAGAAAAAAAGCCGATTTTGGTTCAGAATACCTATATTAGAATAATGCTGCATATAAATCTAATACATATCCTAAGTCATGTTTTCGAGACATGAAAAATGCAAGTTGAATTTCATCAGTCGGCTTAGTAGAACGGGAGATATAGAACTGTCTCGTCTTTTTTTTGCGGAGTGTACTTGCCCATCGCTTGATCAATAATTTCTCCTTTTCCTCCTTGCTTCCTAAGAATGGCATTCAGTTTGGGAGTTCTAGCTGCTATTGCTGCTTACCTAAATTTACCAATGAAATTTGTAACTGAATGAATCAGTTTAATCAATAATGGCAAATATCACATCCATTCTCCTTGCTTATGTTTATTTACTAATATGTCAATAAAAGGGAAAATAACTATTTATTAATGTATATAGTCCATAAATAAAAATAATAACTTAGTTTGTAATGAAATTTTTTAAAATTCACTTTAATTTCATTTTAGATTCAAACTGTCCAACAAAAACTGAAGTTGGAGTCGACCTGTTTTTAGTGACTCGGAGTCGACATGTTATTAGCGACTCTAGCTCCAACTCCACAGCCCTGCCAGCAACACAACATAAACTCAACAAAATAGGAATAAAAAACGTCATCCGGTGGCTCCCAAAGGCCACACTTGTAAAACACTTGCTTAATCTGGCTCCACATACTTATAGTGGGCACCAGTTTCAGTACCTTTTTAAGTCAGGGAGTCATTGACTAATAAATGTTGAAAACCCTGACTGCCAAAGCAATAGGTTTTCTAGCAGTCTCTGATAATTGTGGTTATAGGGGGATTTTTCAAGAAATTACCTCCAACACTCTTTTGTTTTTCTCACAGCCTCCAACTTAAAATAAACCTTCCACAACCACTTTCAGTAATACCAAAAATGCACTTTTTTTTCATTCTTTTGCCCATAGTATTATGCATCATTTTGTCAAACTTGCTCTTATTATCCTCCACAACAATACCAGGACTGCCCAATCATTTCACTCTGTTTTACACACACATCCATATACACATCTCTACAAAAATTCCTCCTATCAGACACAGTTTTATTCAAACAGATATTTACTTCATTCATAAGCAAATTTGTTCCAGTTTCATAAATCCAAATAAGAAAAATTTTAAACTCATCTTACTTTCTTTGAATCATGTACCCTTCCTTACAGATCTCTTATAATAATGAGCATTTGCACATTTTTTATGACAAACTCATTCATAGCCATCCAATCAATCCCTATACATGTTGAGACACATCTTTCATACCTTGCCCTTTTCCTCTAAGTCATGAACAAAAAGATTATTTATCGTATCATACATACATTTTTGTGAGAGTGACAGGGTAGCAATCAATTAGAACCAGTCAGCTAATGAAAATTAATTGTCATTTAATGGCAATTAAAATTTTAATAATTCAAAATATATGATTTGTAGTATGTGATACACATACTATAAATCACATAGCCTAGATAACTAAACTAAGATCTAATTAGATTACATTTAAGAAATACAATGACATGTAACAAAAAAAAAAAAAAATGGTTTTGATTTTATTCTGGGTTACCAGAAACTGCTACCAGCAGTGATAATTGGGTGTCAATCCATTGGATACCCTTTTCTACACTAGAACTATTATTTAAATTGCTTTTCAATGCAACTTATTGTTCTGATTAATTTTCTGGACTATACATTAAAAAATCTCTAAGATTGAAATTAGAATAATTATTCAAATATCACACTGTGATTTGTTAAAATTGCTACTTTTATTTTCCTAGTTATGTTCATAAACTACTACTATAATGTTTTCGTATAAAAATATCCTATCTATGAAGGATAAATGCTTCCTAAAATTTCTCTGTTATTTTTATTTTGCTAATTTCAGTTTCATTTTGATTAATGTGTATAATTTTTTTTAATACAGAAAATATATACAACATGGTGCTGTTTTTTACCCATTTTCTATTGGGAGAAAAAAGTGAATTGGCTAAAGTGTGGTTAGCTGCTCATTGGGAAAAGAAAATTAAGAAATCACAGATTTTTGAAATAAATATTGAGCATAGTATACAGAGTATTTTGTCTAATGAAGTATTTCTTTTCATTTTTTTCTTATTTAAAATTATTACTATATATTTCATTATGTATTTGAAGATATATTCTATATGCATTAAGGATTGTGTAAAATTTACAATCATGAAATCATTTCAGATTGTGTTAGATTTGCGTTTATCTGGGCATCTTCTTGTGGGTATTGTAAGAATTCATTCACGCAAGGCAAAATATCTATTATCAGAATGTAGTGATGTTTTCTTCAGAGTCAGAACCTACCAATACCCCTTGATTGATCTCCCAGAAAGTAAGAGAGAAGCATCTGTAAAAGCTATTACTCTTCCTGAATTATTTGGAAATGTTGATTATGACTTCAGCAAGTAAGCATACTAAATTTCTTATACGTTCCAAATTACCTCTTTCCTTTACTGTTGTAACTTTACCTTTTGATATAAAGTCAAGGAGAGGAACTTACATAAAGGTGTTTTGTTCTATATAAATGTGGTGGTGGGGGGGAGAATCGTGTTATGCTTGCTTTTACACGTGGTATGTTTAGAAATGAAAAACATATATAAATTTTGAGATCTAGATTTGCAGGACTGGGGTGATACTAGATTTTAAATCATTAGTTTAATGCTAGTAAGGTGACATGTAGAAATTATAAAAGTAACAATATGAAATGTGTGGGTTTTCATAATAATGTTACAAATATACTTTCATAATAATGTTTTGAAAGCATTTATGATTTTAAAGGAATCAAATTTACAAAAAGAGCTGTATTTTTGGTTTTATTAAATAGATATTTCTTTTAATTTAAGTTTGGCTAAGATGTCATATATGGCCCAGGATACACGTGGCCGCCAAATTTGGCAATATTTTGTGTTGGATGGTTTAGTTGAGATTTTGTTTGTATAGCAACTCTTTTTATGTGGAAACTTTTGTGTTTTGTGAATGTGGTTTTATTTTGCCATTTTTTTTGGGGGGGTTACATATTGAATAATGGTATATAGTTCCGTTAAGGAAGTTGTAGAGATATCAGCCACATGTTTTAGAGCGTATTTAAGCTATATTTAGTTTGAGATGTTATATTGTGGGAGATATTAATGAAGCATTTATTCATGGTTGTCTTCATGCTGACAGAAGATTATTTTTGCAGTTTTTATGGGATACAGGATTTTTGAAGCTGAAATTGACATGTGACATATGCAGCTCGGATATGAAGATTCAGAAGAAAAATTGTGTTTCTAATTGAGTTGTGTGCATTTGCAGAAAAATTGTTGAGTGTAAAGAATGTGGTTCTCAATGAAGTTTGAGGTTTGGATCCTGTTTCTGCAGTAAGTTGACTTTAGAGGAAATTTTTATTGTAACATTTGAAATTTTGAATCGTAGAAAGATGTCTGATATAGATAAGCCATGGCATTTTGGTTCACATGCTTTGTGTGATTGGCATAGTTTTATATTAATGAAAGTATATTGGATTATATATGTGATATGTCTGTACTTACAAATTTTTGTTTGAAATTAATATTTTGCTTTTTTGGGAACTATTTTCAATGTAAGCGAATTTGCTTTTTTATTGCATTAAATTAGTAGAGAGTTATTTTAATTGTTGCTTTGCTTTAATTTTGTTTAGTTATTTAAAAATTTTTTTTGAATTTATTTGTGTTGAAATTGTTTGGAATTTATTGTTGCTAGTTTAGTTTAAATGCCTCTAGTGTAGAATTGGGTATCCCTTCGATTGTGACAAATTTTGTTCGATTTTGGTGATGAAACCCTATTTCTGGTTATCATAGTTTTAACTTGGTTTTAGCCTCCAGATTTTTTTTTAAGTGAAAATAGATTGATATGTACATAGACAAAGTCAAGGCAGTGCATAATGACGACTTTTTGCAATTCTCTGATTTTTTTTAAAGCGAAAATAGATTTGTGTACATGACACCGAGTTTATGCAGTTCTTATTTTGACTTTGTATAGCAGTCATCTTGAAATTGTGCCTTCATGGCACCAATCTTGGCGTCAAAAGATAATCTGCAAAAAAATAAGGGGCACCCAATAGTAAACTTTTACCGTTTGAATTTGTTGTCAAACATTTTTGGTGAGAAACTTCATGCTTATCTGAATTTTTTGTTTTTATTTCGGACTTTTAGTGTAAATCGTATGCAGAAACCACATTTTTCAGACATTTCAGGCTTTAAGTTTGAAATGTAAACAAAAAATTTAGATATGTAAAATAGTGGAGAGAAATTTTTCACCTACTCCGTCTGTATATGACAGGTTTTCTGTAAGTTTTTAAAACTGTTTCATGTTTCTTTGCGAAACTTTTCTTTTCAATTTTATAGGTAGACATAATTTCTTGTTCAGTCCTTCTAGTTCTGAAATTGCGGTGTCGAGAATTCCCATTAAACTGTCAATCGAAATCTTTCATTCTCAAAAATTTCTTTGTTACTTTGTTACTATTGGTAGAGTATTTTCTGAATTTAAAAACCATACTACAAATTTAGCTATCTATTAATTGTTTGCTGATTACAGCATTGTCATTGCAGTGGAAAACTTCTGTTATATCATTTTTATTTTTTTTTTTCACATTTTTCAATCTTGACAATTTTTCCGTGTGCTGCAACTTTACTTTTCAAGTATTTGATCAAAAACAAGCAACAGCCTTCTCTCATATAATTATACTAATTAACCATTCTGTTTACATCCATATTTAACTGTTTATTGCTCCATCTGATGAAAGTTAGTTCCTCAGCCCAACAGTATATGAAGCAGAAGTGTTTAGGAAAAGATTCTTGGAACCATGAAACTAATTATCAGCATGAAGACCACTTTTTCCCTTGCTGCCTTTCACATCGCATCTCCAGATGCTTGCCTTCACAATAAAAAATTTCATTTGGTTGTCATTTTTGCACTTTCGCTTAATATCTAAAATGTTATACACTTGGAGAAAAAAGCACAGCTTCTTTTTCACCTGATGGTTAAGTTAAGTGTAGATAACATTTTAGAAGGGAAAAAATTAAAAAGGATATGAATGATATCACAATAAAACTGCTACTTGTTTTTCAGTTACTGGAAAGTTAAAAATGGTCAACGTCTTAGTGAGAAAGTAATTAACAAAAGAATATCATGTGATTTAAAGTGAATTTGAAAATCAAATATATTGCATATTAAAAATATCTAAAAAAATATTGCTTCTTTTCTAATTGATTATAAGTTTAAAATGATAAACATTTTAGAGGGAAAAACAAATACTGAATCAATGATATAACACGAGCAATCGGAAAACCAAATCCGTTACCTGTAAAAAATCGGGCAGTTATATTTGCCAGGTTTTGGTGACTAATCTTCTGATTTTGGCAACTGACTAATCTGAAGGTTTTTAAGAGAATGATTTAGGTTCCTGTCTATTACAATGTCAACAAGAAGAATTGGGTTACCACTGGTATTGCATTAGATTTGTTTAAAAATTTTGTTCTTGAAGCTAGGGTTCATTGTAATTTGGTTGCATTAGATCTTAAATATAAGATTATTCTTATTTTAGATAATTGTTTGGCACATCCAAGAGCTGATCTTCTAGTGAAAGGTAATTTTTTTAAAGGTAATTAATTTGTCTGCCGCTCACCAAACTGCACATTACTCTTTCAATTACAAGACAATGATATTACACATTCTATAAAGTATAAGAATTAATCCCTCTTAATGAGGTGCCTGGTGAGTTCTCTAATTCAGGCATCTCATTTAAGAAATTTATAAAAGAATTTAAGGATGCAATGTACATTACTATCAATGCATGGAAATCTGGGAAAGCATGAACACTGAAAAATGAATCATGTAAATTATGGCCAAGTTTTATATTTGCTTTTCATTTGAATGAAAAATTTTCCAAAAGTTAGTATTTTTGGTAACTAAATAATTTTAAGTAATTAAGTAAAGTAGTTATACGGAAATATTTTGCTTATATTAAAGATGTAACTAATCCTGATGCTAAGCCGCTTTCATCAAGGATAACATTTTAAATGAATGTTTGGATGTTAGTGATAATATGCCTATAATTCATCATTACACTGAATCAAACCACACAATTCATCATTGCACCGAGTCTTAGGTATAGTTAAAGTCTAGAGAGAAATGCCTATATAGGTAGTGAGTGAGGAAGACATAAGCAATGAGGAAAATGTGTGAGAAACAGTCTCAGATGACAGGCTAATTATGTTGACAACTGAATTGCTGGCTGGATTAGAGTAACTAGTAGTTTTTTTTACCTTAAATTATTTTAAATTATTCTACAATATCTTATTTTTAAGAGCAGATTCTGCTATATTGAATATTAAATGCTAGTCTTTTCTTAGATATCATTGAGAATTTCAGAGACCAAAAATTAAAATCTTTTTGACAAGTTTTATACTAACATTCTAATCAGTGAGATAATATATATTTTATTTATTATCTTTTATAAATTAGAACTAGTTGCAATAATTATTAGAATTAATTTATTCATAATTATTTTCTTTGTACTGTTTTAATTGCTTTTTAATTGTATCTGTATAGGATGGATGAATTATTATCTTTAAATCAATGCCACACTGAAGAGATTACTTTGAAGGAAACACAGAACATGCATACACTAGATGATGATTTGAACTGTATGTTCATTTTCATTATTCGTTATTATTTTTATAGCTCATAACTGAATATTTGTATCTTGCTTATAGTTTTAAGTTTTTCATTTTGGAAGTGGCATTCACTTAATTTTTTTACTTTTAATCATTGAGATCTCTCTATTAATATTTATCATTAACCTTTGACGTGAAATTGCAGTGGGGAAGAATAATAATTATCATACTTCAGAAGTACCATAATAAGTTAAACTATTAGATGATTATAAAATTTCCATACCTGATTTTCATATGTGACAAAAACAAAACTGGAATGCAGTATAATGCTTAGTTCATGCCCATGCACTTTACCACTGGTTAGGTAAAAACATAAGGAATCATTTGAAGGCAATCATTGTCAAGTGAATTCAATTTGTGTTATGACAGAATTTTGTCAAACTGAAGAAAGGAATGTTACATTTGTCATATTACATTGTATGAGTTTTCGAAAGGCATGATCATTGGAACTATAACAGAAAACATGTGAGATATATATTTTAAATATTGCATTTGTTAGGAGCAAATGCATATGAACTTGGTGAAAAATCTCAAGGATAATATTGAGGAGGTTGATATGAAACTTAATATTGATAATTCATAAGAATTTTTGCTGTTTATGGCATTTCAAGTTCTATAAATAGAACTTGGATTCACAAGCTTAATGCATAGGCGAAGTACTGCTTGTAAGAAAAAATTAGGCTAGAATATTCTTCAACCATTTCTTTTCTTAACATCATGAAAAAGAGTTATTTTTAGATCATGACATAACAGGTGATAGAAAGTGGATCCTGTACAAGAACATACAATAAAATGGAGTTGGAAATAAGCAAGTGGAACTACAGAACCCATAGGAAGAAATGTCTTTTATTTAATGAAGACAGTAAAAAACTGACACCCTTGAAATTTTTTATTGAAATTTAGGGAAATCATTTTCTTTATGCTTTTCCATTTTGGGTGAAACAGTTATGGCAAATGAGTATTATAAGCAACTCAAAAGTAGGAATTAACAAAACATGTTTAGGTTTCGGCCGATTGAAAAAGTGTCTTTGTGCATCATGACAGTGCTAGACCATGTTTTATATATACAATGCTATAAAATGTGAAGGAGTTAAAAGGGTATAAAAAAGTACTCAAGTACAACAAAATTAAACACTAATCAGAAAAATGACTGTCCAGTTTGAAGATGGTTTCATGTACTGTGCTTGCACACATACCTAGGTTGCCATATAAATACATTTTTATGATGTCATGGTTTGCCAAATTGGCAATATAGTGTGTTGTCATGAGTACATTTCAGTGAGGTATGGATAATTAGAAAAGACCAAGTATTTTAAGAAATATTAAATGGAGCTAGAGTAACAACTGTGCGCAAGGAAAAATATCCCTACAGAAAAAAAGACAGATACAAGCAAAAATAGTTTCTTATGAGGGCAAAATTGTGAAGGAACAGTTTTACCACATGAAAATCAAGAATGAAGAAACTTCATCATTACTCTGTCTTAAATTTTCTTCTGGAATGAAAAACTATGTTCTAAAACCATTATTTCATGACAGTTAATGCATTCTGTCAGAAATCAAGACTGTCCCCACACCAAGAAAAAACACGATATTTGGCAACCCTGTTTTTGGGAGCCCTTTTTGATGATGTTCTTAATATGGTAATGTTGGAAATTAATCATTACATGCACCAGTGAACTGGCTTCTTTCTGTTTTTGTGTAGCAAATGCTGAAGACTATGGTACTGTCTGTACATAAGTTCCATTTTTTGTATGGCAGACCTAAAACTGGTATTGGATCTTTGATCCTTACCATTTTGAGGCTGCTCCTTTCCGAAATTTGAATAATATATACAGTCAAAAGTCGTTAATCCGGACTCGTCGGGACTTCAGCAATTCCGGATTATCGATTTTTCCGGATTATAGATCATCAGTTTAAATCTCGTAAGATAGCAGGCAGAAATTCTAAAATTAAAAATATGAAACCGTAATTTATGAAATAAAGAACAATTATGATCTAAAGGGTATCAAAATTTACCAAAAAAAAAAAAGCTTAATATTTATTTGTTTACTTTATTAAACATTTCTTTTAATGCAAGTTGTTTAAGTTGCTTCGTTTTATGTGATAATACTTTCTTTTTAATTCTATAAGCAGACATAATTTCTTGTTCAGTTACAAAGTTCCGCTGTTCAAGTCCCGTAATTGCTGTGCCGAATACCGACTAACTTGTCAATCGAAATTTTTTCGTTTTCACTAACCTCTCTGTCACATTCTTCATGTCTTTATCCATTTTTTGCAGCAATTCCACTTTTTGTTTGTTGGACATCAAAACATACTTTCGTTTTGTAGATCCTTTGGAAGTTCCAGAATCAGAAATTCTATTTGACATAATCGAAAGTTCAAGTTTACTTTTATAAAATTGCTCTTACAGTCTGCAAAAAGTAATAAGCGGGATCCAATTCGAAGATTAAGGAACAATGCAATCATTAACATTAACTGAAATAGATAATTAGATAATTTTAGCTTACACTGTCCGTTATACATTAAACGCGCAGGCAAAAACGTATTCTGCACTTGCGCACGCGCATATGCTGCGCAGTAGTCAAAGTCTTACGCGTACGCGTAAAACGACTGTGCGGGCGCATGCGCAGAAAGTTTTTAGCTTTGAGGTCCGGATTATAGATCATTCCGGATTATGGGTGTCCGAATTAACGACTTTTGACTGTATATATGTATATTTATTTAAATTTAGATTATTTTTAATATACTTTATAAATTAGGCAAGATAAAGTATATAAAATATTGATAAATACCAAAATATGAACAAAAGTACTTTTTTATATTTATAAATTAAATATTTAACAGGTAAATGACAGGTGACTGTGTTAACCATGGTGTCTTGAAAATGGGCATCAATTAAAGGCAAGATCTTGGAAATGGTGAATTTTTAGCAGGTTTAATATGTTTAATATTAAACCTGCTAAACCTGCTGTTTTAATATGTTCTTTCATGGTGGAGGAAACTGGTCAAAAATTAATTTATTTTATTTATTTCTTATTAATATTACAGTACAAAGTCTAAAATCTGGATATTCAAAATCAGACTTCCAGATCACCAGCAACTTTTCTTTATTTCTTTTTTTTTTTTTTTTTTTTTTTTTTTTTTTTTTTTTTGCATGCTTTATGCATATGCTTTTGATATTTTTCATAATAAAACATATGGAGAGTCCCATTTCTTAATTTATTTTTTGGCAATAAATAAAATTTGAAGAAACAATCATCTGTTAGCATAAATATGTTTGATTAATAATTTGGCTCTGTAGCTGCCTTTTTGTTTGGCATATATCTCAAACCAAAACATTCTACATTGAAACATTGTTGACTTTTATACCTAATGAATAATTTATATACCTGATATCAGCTTGGCAAATCATTACTGATTATTTTTTGCTTTCATCATCACATGATGATGATGAAAGCATACATAGCAGCTTGAGATATGACTCATGAAGCCAATGTGTGAACGTTTTTTAAAAATATTAGCAATTGAATACTAAAAAGCATGGTAACCTTTCATGTTCACATTATGTTTGCCGATGGTTACAGATTTCAACTAACTCTGCTGTAAAGTGTGTTGACGAGGAGAAATTTAACAATAATTTTCTTTATGTAGAAAATAGATTTTGTAAATGATACTAATAGACCAAAAGATTACATTTAGTGCTGTTTGAATTGAGAATTATTCAGATAAGCCCAGGACTGGTGCCAGAGTTAGTGCAGCCACAATAGATGACAAAATTTAGAGGAGGCAAAAATTTTTTAATTCAATAAGGAACAAAATTAAGAGAGGACGATATCTTTAGAGTTTTGGGAAAGTACTGGGATGCAGACTTTTTAGAATTTAGGGAGGCAGTTGGCATTAGAGTATTTCCAAGTAGTACCAAGGAGAGTAGTACCATCAGAATAGTACCAAGGAGGTTAAAATTCTAACCTTCTTGGACAGCACTGAGATGCAAACTGTTTAGCGTTGGTCCTGTATAAGCCTCAAATATACAGTACAGCTCCAATTATCCTAACTCCAACTATCCGAACTCTTATTATTGGAATCGCTTTCAGAATTTAAGAAACAAATTAAGAGGGAAGCATAGTGTTGTACAATCAACGATTTCATACATTAAAAGGAGCAAACCTACACTTTCAATCTTTGTGTCACTGCTTGAAAATGAAGATGAAAGTTTTTTTTTTTTTTTTTTTTTTTCCAAACAGAAATTTAGAAGATGTCGTTTTGAAGTGGTTTTTGAAACGTTCTATGGGAAACCCAATCTCAGGTCTTATTCTTTGTGAAAAAGCTAAGATCTTAGCTCAGAAGCTTGGTTGTTCATCCTTTAAAGCAAGTAATGGCTGGCTAAGAAATTTGCAAGCATGGTGTCTGTCAAACAGCTTACTTTGACCGAGATGTTCAGCAAGCAAAGACTTTCAGCACTTGTACGTACTGTACCGTATGCTATATAACATGAACATAAAAGTATTGCCTTTTCATTTTAATTAATTAAAACCTCTTTTTCTTTAAAAATAGTTTTTTTTTCTTCTGTTTTCAACATTCAGTGCATACAGTAATTAATTAAAGTGTATGTAGACCCTTTCTTCAAAAAAAAATTCCAATTACCTGAGTTTTTGATTATCCGAATGGGGTCTAGTCCCAATTGATTTGGATAATTGCCACTTTGTGTGGAAATTTATTTATTTTAGAACCGTGGAACTTCATAATCAAGCAAGAAATTGTGTTTATCTATAGAATTAAAGAAAAGTATTAGCACACACACACACAAACAAAAAAAGGGGGAAGCAATTAAACAATTTACATCAAAAGAAATGTTCAATAAAGGAAACTAATAAATATATAGCTTTTTTGCAAAATTTGGACTCATTATAGCTTCATTATTTCATAATTTCATAAACCACTATTAAGTCATTATAGCTTCATTATTTCAT